TTTTTTTTATTATCTAAAAAACCCATCTAGGCTGAAATAGGAAATTTTAATAAAAAAAAGTTCTTCCGGAATAGAAAGATTGCTCCATGTTATTTAATCGGGTTAAAACAACCCGAATCCAAACTTTAAAAACCCGAGCTTACGCTCCGTTAAAAGAGATGAAATAGCCGTTTGAAATAGCTGTCAGTCGAACGGCTCACATTCATCCATTTGAATTCAAAATTGAATCTAATCAAAAAGGAAAACCCTACGCTTCAGTTTATCGCTTTAAACTCTCTTAGCTCTCTCGCCAATTTCTCGATCTTGTCTCTTTGATCTCTCAATTTCTCTTCTGGGATCATAAATTTTGCTCATCGAATTTTCTTTTCTTGTAATCGAGTTCTTGTTTTTGTATCAAAAGGTGGAAATGTCCTCGGGGAGTTGCGATCAGATCGTTCATGATAAAGGTTAGCGCTTCCGTTTTCTTTGTTTTTCGTCTTCAATTTTGCTTATCGAAATTTCTGATTTGTTAAAAAAAGAATCCGTATTTTTTAGATCAAACGGTGGAGACTTGCGAGTCAAGGCCTTATCCGAACTTTGACACAGGTTTGTTCTTTTCTTTTTCTTTTTTTTCCTTTCTTTATTTTAAAGAAAATTTTAGGCAAATTTTGAAGAAATCTTCTCTAAATTGGAAAAGAAATTAGCGATTTGGTATATTTTTACATGTTCGAAACCCTAGAAAATTCTTACTGGGATTATGCATGTTAGGCAATTTTTTGATGATTGATTGATTCTTGTGACTTGCTTGTTTAGTTCAAAACTTAGAAAACGTGGCATACATTAAGTTGATTTTAAGCGCTTTTTTCAATTGATTAGAAGTCTTGATTAGGGTCTATGAACCCTTCGTATTGCCTGGAAATTGTGTTGTAATTCTTCTGTTTTCTTTAATTTATTCGTACATTTGTATGCTTCAAATGCTAATATTTGGAACAAAACTTATGCTTTTTATGTACTTGTATAATCAGAATACTAATGTGAAGATTTTTGGCTCTTTCTTTAGAACTAGTAGAAGAGACTAACAATTCTATGGATGAGGATAGTACATCCAACATGAATCAAGAAATTTCTCCTGCTCAGGGGCCAACTCTTCCTATATTACAGAAAGTTATTAATTTGAGTAACAGTGTTCAGGTAAAGCATAATAGGTTATTGTTTCTCTGATTAATAGAATTTTTTCTTATGAGCTTTGTGTTATTTTAAGAATTTGACTTGGTAACTTTCATAACTTAATGTCATAGAATTTGAAGAAAGAGCATGAAATTCTGTCTAATCAAGTGAAGTCTTTTCCTGGCCATGAAGTTGTAGGAACTCTTCAGCTTCTCAGTAAGTACCCAATAGATTGAATATAACTACCGTATTGAATCTGTGTTTTTTATTTTGGTTTGAATTGCTTTTCTTTTTCCTGTTTGGTATAGATAATGAATATGAACTTCTGAAGAAGAAATACCTAGATGAGTCATCGGAGAGGAAGCGCCTTAACAATGAAGTGATTGAGCTTAAAGGAAACATCAGGGTCTTCTGCAGATGTAGACCACTAAACCAAGTTGAAATTGCGAATGGGTCCTCTTCTGTTGTTGAATTTGACTCGTCCCAGGATTCTGAGCTACAGATTATTTCTTCTGATTCTTCCAAGAAGCAATTCAAGTTTGACCATGTATTTAGGCCTGAGGATGGCCAAGGTAACCTAAGATCTATTGACTCAGTTTACTATAACCTGAGTCCTCTTGACCGAGTTTAGTATAAATATTTTTAATTCTGTGTTTTATTAATCATGCAGAGGTTGTATTTGCACGAACTAAACCCATTGTCATTTCTGTATTGGATGGCTATAATGTGTGCATATTTGCCTATGGGCAAACTGGAACTGGGAAGACATTTACTATGGAGGGAACACCAGAAAATAGGGGAGTTAACTACAGGACATTGGAGGAGTTGTTTCGAGCTTCTGGAGAGAGGTGTGGTGTAATGAAATATGAGCTATTTGTCAGTATGATGGAGGTTTACAATGAAAAGATAAGGGACCTACTAGGAGAAAATTCCAACCAGCCTACTAAAAAGTTAGTCCTCTAACGTTGGTTTTTTTTTTTTTTTTTTATATGGTTGGCCAATTATTGTAGTATGGTTGCAAAAAACACACTTATATCTCTATCTAGCTTGAGCACCAGTTAATTACTTTTCTCTTCATGAAGAAAGAAATCCATTGGCACATACTTCATTGACTATTCTTATGGGCAATCTGTTGAGAAGACACCATTGATTTTGGAAAATAAAATAAACCTCATAATTTCTAACCAATCTCTTACTAAAGGGTTTTGTAAAATGTAATTTAGGAAACACCAGTTTTAGAGGGTTTAAGTCCTAATTGAATTCCTACATTATGTTGATAAAGGTTGGAGATCAAGCAAGCAGCAGAAGGGACACAAGAAGTTCCAGGACTTGTTGAAGCTCGTGTTTACAGCACAGAGGAAGTCTGGGAGCTGCTAAAGTCTGGAAGCCAGGTCAGATCTGTTGGAGCCACCAATGCCAATGAATTAAGCAGCCGTTCTCACTGGTAATATATTATTTTCTGTTTTGTTTCTGAATTATGTTTAAGAGGCTAGACTTTTTGTGATCTAATTAAATCAGAAAACTTTGTTATCCAACAATGGTGCATCCTAGCATTTCTGTTTTACCAGTCTATAATGACCCAAATTGTCTCTTTGCAGCTTGTTGCGTGTAACTGTAAGGGGAACTAATTTGATAAATGGCCAGAAGACTAGGAGTCACCTGTGGCTGGTAGATTTGGCTGGCAGTGAGCGTGTGGGAAAGATTGAAGTCGAAGGTGAAAGGTTGAAGGAATCCCAGTTTATAAATAAATCTCTCTCAGCGCTTGGTGATGTGATTTCTGCACTTGCATCCAAAACAGGCCATATTCCCTATAGGTTTCTCCCTCTCTCTAGTTTGCGTACACACACAACACATGTGCACAACACCGCAAAAATATGTATGTCTAGCATTAACGGTTTTAACTCTTTCTACTTTTCCATGGTAAACCAGGAACTCCAAGCTAACACATATACTACAGAGCTCTCTAGGTAAGCTTTTGTCTCACCATGGTATCACTGGAAGTTGATCCCCTATACCAGGGGCTAGTTGATCCGGAAAGATTGCCCATGAATGATCTATATTCATTTATAGGGGCCTAATTGCAAACTTTATGGGTATCATAATCAGGTATCATTATCAGAGGGTGTTACTAATTGAATCACGAAATGCAGGAGGAGATTGCAAGACCGTGATGTTTGTACAGATCAGCCCAAGTACTGCAGACCTTGGGGAGACCCTCTGTTCATTGAATTTTGCTAGCCGAGTCAGGGGGATTGAAAGTGGTCCTGCTCGCAAACAGGTGGACTTCACTGAACTTTACAAGTATAAGCAAATGGTATGGCAAATTGGTGGAATTTAAAAAATTTTCCTTCCAACTTTTCAGGTTGATTCAATTTGTTTGACCTCTGGTTATTGATTAACAGGCAGAAAAGTTAAAACATGATGAGAAGGAAACAAAGAAGTTGCAGGATAATGTACAGTCCTTGCAGTTGAGACTGGCTGCTAGAGAACATATATGCAAAAGTCTCCAAGAAAAGGTAATTATTACCAAACAAGCCGAAGCAATTCTTTCTGAGATGATAACTACTCTCAGCTTCTTTGCTGGGTAGTGGGACAGCTTGTTGCCTTTTTCTGAGCATGAACTGTTCCATCTCCTATCTGATTTTTTTCTTCATGATGTTTTGTTTTATTTCCTTCTTTGGTATTTGATGATAGGTTCGTGACCTTGAAAATCAATTAGCAGAGGAACGGAAAACCAGATTAAAGCAGGAAACCAGAGCTTTTGCTGCTGCTGCTTCTACTAGACCATCTCTTCAACAGGCAGCAGAGAAGACCAAAATGGAGAAAAAACCACCACTGGGTCCATCAAAACTGAGGTTACCGTTGAGAAGAATCACCAATTTCATGCCCCCAGCATCACCTATGCCCACCAACAAAAAGACAACTAGAACGTCCATGGCAGCAATAAATGACAAAGAAAACAACTTCAAAACTGTGATGGCACCAACAAACGCAAAAAACCTTTTGAAACCGAGGCGTACTTCCATTGCTGTCAGACCTCCAACAACTGCAACACAAGTTCTTCAGCCTAAAAGGCGAGTATCCATTGCTAACCTCCGGCCAGATTCACACATGACAACACCACTCCGCAGCTCTGCTTTTGGTTTCAACAATGGTGGTACAATGGATAGACCATCATTAGTGCGGGATCCCAGGAAGGCAAGATATTCAAGATTGTTTTCTCCATTACCAGAGTTTAGGAACCCATCAGAGACAACACCTTCCGCCATGAGAAGCAGCAGCAAGTTCATGGGGAGTCCTCCTGTACCGGCAGGTTTATGGAAGCCTAGGCATCCAACCGTTGTTGCTTTGCAAAGGAAATCGTTGGTGTGGAGTCCGCTCAAGTTAAGAGGCATGCAAAGTTACAGAAAATCATCACTGTTGCCTTTACGACCTTCAGCTGAGAGGGAATGAAATCTTGCTTTCAGAGTCTTTTATGCTCAATACCTAAATAACAGCTAAAATTTTCATCTCTGCTGCACATATTAGTAGATTACCAAAAGTCTGACATACAACATTCTTTCTTCTATGATATGGTCTATTATTTGTGTAGTGTACACTGTACCATGTATCCATGTTTTCCAGGTTTCCAGCTCCTTCAAAAAGGCAACATTCTTGCAGTTTATTTTTAATGCCCTATACTTGTTATCAAATTCTGGCGATGATTGCCGCCCCCCCCCCCCCCCCAAAAAAAAAAAAAAAAAAAAACCCAAAAAAGGAGTAGTAAAGAAAGTAACGGGAAAGAAAATAAGAAGAGAAAAATAATGTTCCTGCAGATTAAAAACAGAAAACTAAAAAATTCCTGCAGAGTAATGTTCTCTTTTGCTTGGACAATTTGGCAGTTGGTAGTTATTAATAGTACTTTAACTTCATGGCTGCCCCATCATCAAGCTGCTTCAACTGCTGCTACTGCTCTGCTTCCAAACACAACTCTTCAATTTCATACACTAACTTTCCCTTGTCTTTTTCTTGTCCAATCTTCAATGGCTGCAATGGAATTTCACTAAGCAGAACTGGGTTTACCTCAAGAACATATGCCAAGTTTGAGAAAATCCAAGGTGACCCTTCTGAAGCCAATCTTGAAGATACTTCAGTTTCTTCTGGGCAAACACAGCAACAAACTCTTCAAGAAAAAGATGACACGTTTAGTATGTTCTTACTTCTTTATTCCCTGGGTATTACTTCTTTTTGTTTTCTCATTGGTTTATCTAGGAGTTTGGTGAATCAGTTTGATGTATATTTTGATACCCATTTCTTGGTGATGCATTTTAAAGAAAAAAATGAAAAAATTGTGAAAGGGTCTTGGTTTTATCTTTTATGTTTCAGCTGCTTACCATCTGACTTGGAGGGTACAGTCAGGTAATCAGGTCAAGCAAGTGCCTTGTTTGTTTCTTCAGGAGGAATGAGAGCTACCGTATGTGTCAATGAAAGATATAATCTTGTTCTTTGAATTGAATGCAATTCTTACTCCCATTTCTATACTTTAATTTAAGATGGTAGATTGTTTAATTTTTAACAGGTTGAGCTCCTAATACCTCAGCTACAGTTTCCTGATGGTGAAGGTGTACAAGCTGAGTTTTGGGAACTATCAAGAATTTTCTTGGATACACTTAAAGAAGGAACTCGATGTCAGGTTAGTTGGAACTGCAACTTTAAGTTTAAGAACCATGGCAATCTTAGTTATGCCTAGAAAATTGGAGTTTGTGAATGAAATCCAAAAGTTTTGATTTGTAACATGGAGAATTACAATATCGAGTGAACCATTTTCTCACCTTTATCCCTATATAAGTTCTGAAAATCTGTATGTAAGAAAGTTGGAGCCATATTTCCAGATGATGGAGCTGCTGCGTAATTGACCAAATTTGAGTCTGATGCTCCAAAAGATTTATCAACTCTGTTGCTATGATTAGGTTGAAATATATTACCAATTACTCCTAATTTCCTGCCTTCCCATGCTTAAATCCTCTCTTCTTTGATCATTTCTAGATTATGGAAGGTGTTTTATGATGATAGAGACAGGCCTGGCGGATATCTGCTTGCAAAAGAACTTGTGAGCCGTCCTGTTGCAGAAGAACTTGAGGTTAGTTGCTTACACACACTTCTCCGTCATTTTTCCATGAGTTCGTTAGATCTGATAAAAATAAATCTGCTTGAATTGTCTGAAAAAGAATGTCCTGTGCAAAACCCAAAAATCCCTTGCCGTTTAATTGATAAAACAAAACTAGCATATACAATCTTAAGATTCAAAGTTAGCTCTTGTGATACAATCTAAATCAAACCTTCCTTTTGCTAATATCAGTAAATTTTACGATACAGTCTGTACTGTACTTTCCTTTTGATAATAAGTAATATCTCTCTCATGGTTGGCTCAAAGTTGTAAGTGTTCGGACAACAAGAAAATGACCCTACAGGTATGGTATCTAGGATAGAGAGAAGATGGGATCAAAATTGCACTGGCATCATATACATGGCTATAAAATCAATTTACATTTTCCTACAAACCATTATTACATATCCCAAATGCAAAAGGAGTCTCGCAATTCCTCTTAGTTATGCTCCTCTCTCCTCCAGTAACCAACAGAACATCAAGTTTTAGCATTGTGAATGTCTTTCTGTTATCATTGTACACTTCTGTTCAGCTACCTTTCCCCAAAGAAACACGCACAACAAATCACCAGCAAATGCTCATATATTATCTGTTGCACTTTCTTTGACGAAAGCTGAAACACTGTTGGCTGGATGTGGTTTTCAGGATCAGACATTACTTTGATCTACTCATAGGTCAAAACCAATCAACATTTTTGGCGGAAGTTTTCGGTTGCTTCTTTGGCTTTTGGTACCTATTGTTTTCAAACTTAGCTTTAACTATAAGAGAATAAAGCAAGTCTGCCTCTGCTGAAATATCAAAAGGCACGTTCAGGATGCTACAGAAAACCATACACAAAACATCAGTAAAAAGCCAATAAGAAATGTTTAATGAAACTAAAAGATTGTCAGAGCCTTCCGCAAGTAGAAGGTCTATCTAGTTTGTAAAACCATAGCAGATGAGGTAGCTTAACTCATTGAACTTTAGGGAAAAATGTGCAGCATAACAAATGAAATTCACTTGCTAATTAGATCAAAGCCACAAGACAAGCAAACTCCAGTATTTGAAGAGGCAGGTACCTATTTAAGTGGCCTGGTAGTATCCAAGTCAATCATAGCCCTTTAAGTACTCCTACAGAATAGCAACCAAAATTTCTTGGAGACAGCTAAGAGATACGTACCTATCAAGTAGCTCCTCTAGAATAATTCTTTGGGAAGGTGTCACAAAATGGATGCAACTTCTTGGGCACTGACCAACTGCAAGCTGAACTTGGTAGTCTTCAGGATGTCCTGATTAATAGCAAATTGGTAATGAAAAAGAAACTGAGAAAGTTATTGCGTAAAATTCTCTGTTACTGTTCTTAAAATGTTTAAAACCACCATATAATACCATCCTTTCAAGTATCAGAAAGAAATCTCACCCCCTGGCCATTTTGTTCTAGATGCGAGTCAAATACATGAGAAAATAATTAAACAAGAAACCTTCTGGTGTATATACCAACCTTGAGAAGTTGCACGTGCAGTTCCAGTTGAAGGATCATATGTGAATGCATGAGGGGCTCTCTTTACACATGAATATGGACACCCTACAGTTGTTTCAGAACGATGATGCTAAGAGGGCAGAATAAACACATATCACATCATTGTTTTACGTAAGAAAACTAGCAATATGTCTAACTTGGACAACTTTCTGCCAGAATTAAAGCAGCTCGAATAAAATGTTGAATTATCTCATTAATTACCTTTGCCAACGCAAAGAACTTCATTAACAAAAACATCAAATGCTTCGCATTCAGGGCTGTCAAAGGGATCTAAACATTCCCTACACAATGCACATATCCAACCGGTAACATTGCACCCCAAAAATGTACCAGAAACTAACAAAACAGAGAACTGAAAGAGCAATAACAAACCAAACTGATACAAATCATTGAAAAACACATTTACTACCGTAAACACATTCATGATTGCCAAATACAAGTAATAGATCAAAATTTTCAAAACTAGCAAAATATAGTTCCTGAATTCTTCATAAAAGGGGGGGAAAACACGGAACAAGAAATTTACCTCTCAATGATCTCGGACCGGCTGTAATTGGATAAGAGCTGCAGACATTATCAAACCAAATTAATCACTAAATTTCCTATAAGAAAATTTACCAAAAAGAACAAATTGGCAACCCTAAATCATTGAAATCCTACAATTACGAACATATATTAATAAGTAATGAAACGATATTACATTTAAGTAACATAAAGGGGAATCCTTAGACTAGAAATTAAATGGACAAATAAAATAGGAAAAAAATAGAAAACCTCATAGGCCTGGATTACACGGCGGATCATCGTATCAGAATCTCCTCCATCTCTGTTTACATCAGGATGATACTGCTTCACCTTTGAACAAAAAGAAATATATATATAAATAAATAAATTCTTTTTTAAATCTCGTTAAAAATTTCTTTTCTTTTCCCCTCAGTTTTCTTGGCAAATGAACAGATAATTTAAACCTTGAAGCTAATTGTGAAGTAAAGAAAAGAAAAAAAAAAGTTCAATTTTATTTATTTTTACTCTACTTTGGAGCGGAAAGCAGCTTTGAGCTCGTCGGCGGAGCAGTAAGGGTGGACGCCGAGGATGGAATAAGCGGAGGAAGTGGAGAGAACCGGAGGAGGATCCTCTCCGGTTCTACCTCTGCAATTAACTGTCGGTCGAGAAGAGAAACGACGACGTGGGGACCTCATACCAAAAGAAGAGAAAATTTGACCGTTGGGATCTGTAACAGTTCTCGGTAGTGGAAGAACCGGAGTGATTGAACTGTAGAGACACAAAAATTTCATTCTCTCCCTCTAGATTTTGATTTTCTGTTGGTGTTCGTTTCTCTCTTATTGTGCTTTATAACTAACTCATTGCCAGAAATTGGTTGGATTTTTTTTTCTTTCTGAGAATTAGGGAGAGCAAAACGGAGCGTTTCGAATCTGGTGGGGTGGGGCTCCGAATGACTAGACTAGGTTTTTCAAGTGAGATTCGTTAAGTTCTTAACTAAAAATAATTAAATCAAAATCAATAAATTAAAAATTACATAAATTGAGTATACAAAATTTTTAAAAAAATTAAAAAGTTTGATATATATTTTTAAATAGATATTTTTAATAAAAATATTAATAAAATATTTATTATTAAATAAATATCAATCAAATTTAAATTATAAATAATATTTTTAATAATTTTTTTATACCTTATTGATATTTATATTAAATTTATCAATCTATCATTTGAAATTTTTATTAATGTTTTTATTAAATTACTTTTAAAAAAATTATTTTAAAAAAAACTTCAAAACTTTCACCTAAAGAACTTCACGAAAATTTTTTCCTCGAACTTGCTATTTTACCATTGTTAAATTGAAGATAAAAACATCAAAAAGGTTAGAACATAAAATACTCAATAGTTTCTCTATTAATGTATTTATAGTCCCTGGCTTCTTGGTGTATGTAACTGAGAATAAACGTCTTGTCTGGCACATAACCTTCATCTAACATGAGTCTGAATAGCTCCTCCAAAACCCCATATATGACCTCAGCTTGCGGGTGCATTCTGTCCCGAACAACAAAGCTGTGGACTTTGTTTTCAATCTCTATCCAACTTATCCCGGTTTCTTTCACCACCCCTATTTCCTTCATTCTCTTAATGGTCGTTGCTCTTTCTTTCCATTTGCCTCTTGAAGAATATATGTTTGCCATTGAAACATATGGCACTGGGCTTTGCGGTGTTTGCAAAAGTAACTGATCAGCTGCATATTTCCCTGTTTCAGAATCACCGTGAATGCCGCAGGCACCAAGCAATGCTTGCCAAACAAGCACATCTCGCTTAATAGGCAATCCCTCGATGAAAGTCTTAGCTTCATTTAGGAGCCCTGCCCGGCCTAACATGTCAACCACACATGCATAGTGTTCTACCCTGGGAATTATTCCATGCACATCAGTCATGGATTTCAAGACCTTCATGCCCTTTTCGACTAAGCCCACATGGCTACAAGCATGAAGCAATGAGAGGAATGTAACATCTGTTGGCTCTATACCTTCTGATCTCATCTCCTCATATAACTGTAGTGCTCTAAAGCCATGCCCGTGACGAGCAAAAGCTGCAATCATAGAGTTCCACGAGATTGAGTTCCTTTGAGCCATTCGACTGAAGACTTTGACTGACTCCTCTAAATCTCCACACTTGGAATACATGTTGATGAGCCCATTATTAACATAAGAGTTAAAACCAAAATTTCTTTTGATGCTTAAAGAATGAATCTGCTTACCCAAACTCAATGAAGTATCCTCACCAAATACCCCCAAAACAGCTGACAGCATGTTAGGATCAATTTCAATTCCTGACTCAAACATTTTTACAAAAATCCGTTTAGCTTCTTCCTCGAATCCATTTTGTGCCAAACCCACAAGGATTACAGTCATAGAAACCTCATCAAGATCTTGTGCAGATTCAAAAATCTGCCAAGCATCATTCACATTTCCACATTTAGAATACATGTCCATTAGTGAACTCTCAATACAGAGTTCGGACTGAAACCCTAGCTTCCATAAAAGACCATGAATTTGACGCCCTTCCTTTAGTGCTTGCAAACCAGAACATGCCATCAATGTGCTTAAATAAGTTAAAGAATTTGGACACACTGATCCCAAACGCATGTTATTAAACAATTCCAAGCTTTCTTCATACAAGTCATTTTGCACTAGCCCTGATATCATAGCTGTCCAAGTAATAGCATTCCTTTCAAACATCTCATCAAAAACCTGTCTCCCCGAACTCAAACTTCCACATTTAGAATATGAAGTTATCAAAGCATTCCCTACACTAATTTCCCTTTCATATCCATTCAAAAACACTAATCCGTGCATCATCTTATTAACATAACAAAACTCCATACCATCACAAGCTGATAAAATAGTAGTCAAAGTCGCTTGATCAAACCAACAAAAACCCGATTTTCTCATCTGTTTGAAGTACCCAAAACCCTTATCAAACTCCCCATTCCTTAAAAACCCGGAAACCATCGTGTTCCACGAAATGGTATCTCTTATTGGCATTTCATCAAACAGCTTCGTCAAATCAGTTAAAGTGCCACATTTTGAGTACATTCCAAGGAGAGAATTACAAATAACAACAGCATTATTGGAATCCTTAAAATCTTCATTTGGATTAAAAATTTCAGGGTTTTTTACGAGGGAAGCGTGGATAGAGGAACCCAGAAGGAAAAATCCTTGTTTCCCAAAGATGGATAACAGGAGGCTTATGTCTATATGGTTGAGAACAAGTTCGGAGGGATATGAAAATGGGAATTGGTAGAGTCTTTGGGTTTTGAATGGGGAGAAGAGAGAGGAGAAACATGAAGGAAGGTTGGGAGTCAGTTTTTGGAAAACCCATTTGGATTTCATCCACGAAAATTCGAAAGTTCAGGATAGAAATATGTTTTGTTTTGTTGTGTTTGGAGGGAAGCAAGGGCCTTTTAAGAAGTTAAAAGCAATGGACGGGGCTTTAGAAAGGGTAGTAGGATGAAAGTCAATTGGGCTTTGATTTAATGTAATTTTGAATCACCAATGAAATATTTAAAAATGTTAATTCAATCATTTCAGTAAATTTTGAATCAAATTATTTAAAATTAAATTAATTATTTTATTTAATTTAATTTTTATTAATTGAATCGAATTTATTAATTTTAAAAATTAATCGATCAAATGTAATTTAATTAATTCAATTAATTTTTTGATTAAAAAATATATTTAAATTAAATTATATTTTAAACTTATAATTTCTTATATTTTAAATAAATTAAATAAAATTATCCTACAAGATATTAAAACATCAATATATTATGTTAAAAATTCTAACAATTTATTAAATAAAATGATACATTTCATATCTTTTTAATTTTATATTTAAATTTTGTTAAATTTTTTAAAAATAATTTTCCTAATCAATCCAAAATTAATTTGATGATCAACTGATTAATCGAATTAAATTAATTTGATCTATTAATTTGATTAAAACCGAATTATGAACATCATATCTTTTAGTAAAAAAAATTACAACCCAATTAAATTTAATTTATTTATCACTTAACCAGCTACAAGATTTATTTAAACAAGAGGAATGCCCATGAATAAAACTTCTCTCCCTGGAGATTATTTACATCATAGCAGATGGAGGAAATTACAAAAGAAACGGGACAAGTTGCACTATCATAAACCTCCACTGAAGCTTGTTTAACCGAAAGGCAGAAAAGAAACCAATGCAACAGGAATAACCAGAATTCTCAACAGTATGAACTATTGTTTGAGATCTTGTGCTGATGACCAACCTCAAAATCTAATCACAGAGAAGAAGGATTTGAAGAACTGCAAGTATTAGGTCAAAGAACAGTATGCCCTCCTTGATGGTTGTTCCAGCCTTTAAGTACTACTCTTGGAGTGACACCTTGAGGGACCTGGAACAAGATCTTAATGGACATCTCCTCACCAGGCACTAGTGAAAAATAGTTATCCGAGTAATGAACTGGGAGTATTCTAGTGTCTTCTCCTTCCTTGTGATCTGTATTTGAAGCATGAACGGAGAAATTAAGGAAGAAAGCAACTCCAACATCAGATCCGTTTATCTCTGCAACCTTCAAACCATCAGTTTCCCTTGACAATTGTCCATAAAGTCTCTGAAATAAACCAGCTTTCTGTTTCTCCCCAGTTTCATCGTGAATAGGTTCCAGTGAAGCCATATCAAAGTCACCATCATCATTTCTGGTAGCATAATTGTTCTTGTAGGTTAACATTTTGGGATCTGGTTTCTCAGATTTGTTTTGCACGTTCATTTGGATTTCATAAGAGGAACCTTTGATAAACGTCTTTGATGTTATCTTAAGAGGTATTCTCTTGTTGCTGTATGGTTCCAGCAGCTTGTAATCTCCACCAGAAAGATACAACCAGTAAAAATTTCGGGATATAATGGTATAATCTGACAATTGGTAGAGTTTGAGAAGGAGAAAGTACACTGGCTTTGGATTTTTAGACTTCGGGTACTTCATCTCACTAATGGTAACTACTTTCTTTGGTGGCAAGGAAAGCTTATCGAAAACTTCGTAATAAGGACAAGCTCCTTCAAGATCCCATACTGATGCTTCTACGGCGACATTTGACAATTCCTCTGACATAGTATTGACTACCTGTTCATGAAAAAGCGGGCCAGAATTTTATAGTGGAACTTTTGATTGAATAATTAATTACAACCACACCTAGTCACTAAACCCACTTTAAGAACAGTGGTTAAGGGGAGGGGAAAGAGAGAGAGAGAGAGAAAGAGAGAAAATAAGAATCAAAACCAAACAACTAGAAGCATTATTACTCAGACACTTGCCTCTATAAAATATGTAGCAAGATTCAGCTGAACATGAATTGGCTCCGCTGCACAGCGACAACCATAAAAACCTGCTGTCTGGTCTAAGAGGTGATCATAAAATTGACCTCGAAGACCTGACCATGGGTTTTGTGTCTTCCAAATCAAAACCCCAGTGTATTTGCTCCACATACGGGAGGTCCAACCCTCTAATAGAGCTCTATACTGAATGTAGTTAACAAGTTGAGCCTGAGATCATTTAAGGAAGTTAGTATTAAGAAAAAAAAAAAGAAAATATCACATGCATTCCCCATAAAAAGCGAAAGATTTTTGCATAATACCTTCAAGCAAAAATCATCCAGACCCTTTGGTGTCCCATACAGTTCGATCTGGTCATGAACCTTTTCAGGTTTTGAATAAGAAATATATTTATGGTAATCCCAAATGGGATTTGGAACTTCTTCTGTGTAACCATTGGGAAGCTTCTTAAATAATGGAATTTGCCATCCCTCTGGAGGCATGGTTGCTCTGATAGTAGCAGCAACTGGCATTCCTACAGAACCAACCTCAGGGTTGAAACCATATTGGTAATAGTCATCCTTGAAGAAGTCTTCAGGATTTTGAATTTCATAAGGGCCATCAGTGAAGTCTCCCTTTCCATTAGCAAAGCCATCCCACATTGATCCTTGGATATAAACACGTGTGCCATCCAGATAGTGGCTAGGGTCTTCGAACACAGTCGACAATTCTTTCACAGATGTTATATTTTCACTGTGGTTCTCAAAAAGTGGATGTAGTTTCAGGTCATTCTTTAAAGCTGTGTTGATGTCAGCTGGTGGAACTTGTTCGTTTCCACCAACCCAGAGCGCAAGACTAGGATGATTCCTTAAAAGCTTGACAGTATCTCTGGCACATAGCATGAACAGATCATGGTCAAGTGGGCCATTTGGATTTGATACTGGGATACCTCTTCCATCAACATCACCAGTAATCCAAAACTCCTGCCATACCTACAAAATTTTAAATTGTTTATTTCCAGGTTAATCAAGTGCACTTAACATTTGGACAACAACATGCACAGTGAAGCATGAGGAGTCACACACAAGCTTAGATAAGCCATGCTGCCCCAAACTAGCTGTAATTCCTTAGTTTCACTTCCTTTAGAAGAATTTTTAAATTCCTAAACAAGTAGCCCATCCTTCCAAAAGGTTCCTATTTCTTTATAACCTTCACAATCCTATATATGCCTTACTCTCATCCCTTTTTTTGACCCTGCCAATTTTTACTCTCTCTTTCAGAAAACATATACGCACAAAATTACATGCATGATAGCACTTACAAGCATCCCATAAAATGAGCAAGCATGCACACACACACACACAAACATATATATATATATATATATATATATATAGAGAGAGAGAGAGAGGGACCAGAGCTTACCAGCAAACCATAAACATCACAACAATGATAAAATTCTGGCCTCTCAGCCAACCCACCACCCCAACAACGAATCATGTTTAGATTCATATCTGCATGAAATTTTATGTCTGTTTCGTAACGCTCCTTAGAAAGCCGTAGCAAACAATCTGACAATATCCAGTTACCACCACGGATAAAAATAGGCTGTCCATTCACCTTGAACAACCTGTCAAAAGAAGGCAGAAACAAAACAGATAATAGAAATTCTAGATGCAATGATTTAATATTAGTCAAAATTAATTTCTGAAAGTATACCTCCCTCCGGTAGCACTATCGATATGAGATTCAATTTTGCGAAAACCAAATTGATGGCCCCATGAATCAGACTCTCCGTATCCCTTCACATCAACAGTAATGCTGACATTATACAGAGATTGCTTTCCCATGCCATTTGGCCACCATAAATTGGGCTTGTAGAAGAAAAGCTGCAATATACCTCAAAAGCATTTGAAGAAGGGTTGTCAGTAAAATTGAATGGCAACTTGCAATAAATGGATGCTTTGAACCCCTAACTACAGATACCCAATTTCAGATAGAGGAGAAGAAAGAATGTTATTGCAGAGGAATACCATTAGTTTCCTCTCAATAATAATTAAATTTCTTCTTAATGAAAAAATAAAAAGATGGTTGACTTTTTTCCAAAAATGAGATCCAATTCAGTCAAATCTTGCTTCATAATCTCTCAAATGTGTCCCTACTCTCTATGTCAAAATTCAAAGACTCATAAATACTAATAAACAATGGAGAAAAAAAACTGGTCATTGAAGACAAAGAACTAACTTTAGTGCAATGAAGGATGCTACAAACACATCTAAAAATCAATGAGAAAGATACCACCACTAACCTGAGGAAATGTATACTGGATAGATGCACCAGCAGAGATTGAAACACGTTGAGTCTGGAGATGCTCCACCAAGCAAACACTTCCTTCAAGTTCTGTTGTCACTTGGATATTCAAAGAACACTCGACAAGCCAAGCACTTTTGTTTTCCAATTCAGTTGTTGCATGCAAGTATGCCCTCGTGTAATTGTCAAAAAATGATGACACCAAGTGTGGATCAATTATTTTTACCGGCTGCATCAAAAGAAAATGCATCAACAAACAGCATTTAGAGTAATTACTGAGTATCATAAACTTAATATTGTGAAGAAATAAGAGCACCAACAACTACTAATATTTAGGTTTAATCTTTAACAGATAACATAGCCATAAATGAAGGTACTCATAATAAACCCATAGAAATTAGATGGAAAAGCCTCCACAAAGCAGGGAGAAAAGGTTTAAAAGCAAGAAAAAAGGAAAAGTAACATAGCACCTAAGATTTTTGGCATTGTGCAGTATAATGTATACTCATTACTATTAGGAAATAAACACATAGTCCTGGTTATGAGAAGGAAGTTTAAGTCTTATGCATAAATCTTACCCCAGTAACAGATATCGAGACTTCATCCCAAATACCAGTGTTCCTATCCCTGAGACAAGTAAAGGTCAGATATGTAAGATATCAAGTTTTTGCTTCTTCAGAAAACAGAGGTTGAATGCTAGCTACTAGTTGAAAAACTTCTAAGACAGATACATTCTTAGATGAGATCATAGAACACCCAAAAAAATGTAATATAATTAGTTAATTAAATTGATTTATCTCCATAGACATTAAAATTGCATTATTTTTCTCCCTTTCTATAAAGACCTTGCTCCTATGCACGAGAATCTACCTATAAACTAAAAGTAAAACTTATCAGAGGATTGCCATTCGTAACTTCACCTCTATTTTGCTCACAGAAGTTTCATTGGACTTTTATTTATATGCATTTGATCCTCTGCTACTCTATTCCATGTACCCAAATAAAAATTTTTGACAACTATATCTGTCCTCTTTCATATCCCATTTAACTGACGAACAAACCTTTAGCTCATAACACCAGTCTACTCAAAATAAGAACGGAAAACAAAGCACAATCCAACTCCTAAACAGAAACTTCCAAAATGTCAAACTAATTGATTTTGGGTACAAATTAGAACAGGCACTTATACATGCAGGTCAACTGCATTTATGACCACATGAACTACACAAATAAAACTCTAAATATCAAGTGAAATTAGTCGAATAACATATAGGAAATGTACAATTTTATTTTATTTTTTGTGCTTTAGGTTTGCAATGGCATTATGAATTAACAGAAATAAAGTTACAGTAACTACCATGAGTCACATAATTCATTCAAAAAATATATCAGCATAAAATCAAAAAACTAAAACAAAACTCTGAAGTTTCAAAAGCAAAAAAGAATTCACCTCACTGGAGCTATCCAGTCCCAACCCTCAACATATTGTGTGGCAACATCTTTTCCAATCTAAGAGGAAAAAAAGAGTTTTAGCTGTTAGGTTGCAGTTTTTACTTACATTAATTGAATACCCAAAGTTTAACCTTAAGCCATATTTCATGAGATCAAACAAATTGATGAGCTTCTTTTGGACAAAGATATGTACCTCATGATCCCCACCTTGCCCACCCTCAGGGGGAATGCTCCCAGGATGGTCTGGAGGGTGAACAAGAACAGCCAGCAAGTTAGCACCATTAGGATTTAGGATATCAGTGACTTCAAGGGAATGTCTTCGAAACATCCCTTTAGGGAGGACCTTTTGGTGGCCATTTAAGTACACCTCTGAAGAGTAATTGATTCCACGAAAATTTAGATCTAAATGCTGAGTTCCTGACTGCAAAAAATGAAGTAATTAGAAACAGAGGAATACCTACAAAAAGAATAATCAGAGTATCTGTTAGTTACATATAAGATTTGCAACAGTCAGGGCATAGACTTATGGCCAGTTGAAGACCAAGTGGGAATATAGACCACAACCAATTTTTTTTCAAGTCATATTAACCTCACAGAGTGTTCCACGTAGAAACATTGCATACCAGCTTACACTCAAATTTTGTGAAAAACCAGAATGTGTAGTACTCCCTTCCAGAATCAGCTATATCAATGATCATCTTATTCTCCAAGCCATAGAATGGATCAGCAACAGCTTTGTTCTTTACTAGAGTTGCCAGAACACTGTCAATCAAACACAATTAATCCAGAGCATTACCATGAGAAATCATATCCTAGCTATTACCATGAGAAACCACGTACTAGCTCTACTGTAGAAAACTAAACTTGCATGCAAATGGAACTATAATATTTTTCATACAAAAGCACAATCATTTTTGCAATTATAGGTCCCTAGTAGCAAATGTAATATCATCAAATGTTTCAATTATTATGCTAAAAGCAACATTTATAGTCCAAAATTGAAAATAATAAGTAATTACAAGGTTTAAGAAATCTTCAAGCACATTGATTAAAAAAAAAAAAAGACTGATTTTTTTTTTGGCTACTTGCCTTTTGCTTCATAAAAAGTTGCCATCAAGCAAGACAAAATATTAAAAGTAAATCATATATTTGATTAAACAAAAAAAAAATGCTACAATTATACCTTTTTATCAAAAAAATTCAATATTTAATTTCAATTTATTTGAAAATATTATTGTTATTTGTTTCAAAACAAAAAAGCAAACAAAAAAGACTAACAACCAAACAGAACCTAAGGAATCTGAAATTTGATTTATTATCCTAACAATTTAATCAAAATTTTTACTAAAGATAAACACTTTCTTTTTTCTTCAAAATTAAATGATACCTAACTACCACTTTTTCATAAATTCAATCTCAGTCAAACCTTTTAATTTCTTAAATTCAAACAAATAAATCCTTTTTCCATATTAAAACAAGCAAAAAATCAAGTCAATCAAGCGAAACTCGGCATAAATTTCAATAAAATCAGAACTTGATTGCTTGCTATAAATGCAAAATTAACCGTAATTATTTTCTACATATACAAAAGTCAAAGGATTATTACGTTCCGGGGACGACAGCTTCCATCCAAGGAGATGTTGGGCCAGTGGGTGGATGAGTGGTGGTGAGCTGAGTTCCGGTGAGTTCAACCTCAGTGGATCTGGCGGCAAGCCATCCCGAGTCAAGTAGAGTCTTTCCTATCTCCGCCATTGCTGAGCTTTCGACTCGGATGCTCTCAACTTAGTTGTTCAAACTAACTGAAGTGAGAAGATTTTGACGAGTCGTTTCTTCTCCGAGAGACCTACGAACGACATCGCGTGAAAAAGGTCGAGAGAAGAGAGTGTCGATGTTCAATCTACGCCACGTGTAATTTATCGATTTGTTTTTGACAGCGGTTATTTCTAGCTGATCTGTTCAAAACTCTGCTCTCTTTTTTTTTTAATCATTTCTAAGAATTTTGTTTAGAGCTATTATCATATTTTATTTATATTTTAGGGGAAAATGTCACAAAATGGTGATTTCTTTTGTTTGTATTTTACCCATGAGATAATATTTTTTTCGTACAATAGGGAAAATATTAAATTCATTGAAATATAATTGAGGAGTTGAAAATGTTTTATTTATTACTTAATTAATTTTTTAATATTATAAATATATTTTATTAAGATATAAGTTAGTTTTTTAATTTTATTCATGAAGTTTAATAATTCCGCAACTAATATATGAAATTTTTTTATATGATAATATTGAGAAAAAACATGCTTCCTACATGTAATTTCTAAGCCAAATAAATAAAATTACTTTTAATTAATTCTTATATTTCTAATATATATAAAGAGGGCTGAGTCTAATCAATGGTGTTAAATATATAAGTGTTTTGATCAAATTAATTAGATAAGTATTTAGGAATATTCTCATGAAATGGTGCATACTTCAAAAACCTATTATTAACACCAACCATATAAAAAATGGAAATAATTGATTAAACTATACTTTTTTTATAAATGGTTTAAACTATATTTATATCAATGGTGGATGTGTTTTTTGAGTTGGGTTGGGTTGAGTCAAGTTCGACTCACCTTTCAATACCTCTTGTCAAAGTTTGACTAATTGGGCTTACCTGAAATTTTTTGAAAAAATTAATATTTTGGGCATTGGGGCTGGAACATGATGATCTATTTGAACCCTGGCTATAAATCTGTTTTATTTTTATTAAAAACCCAATCATAACTAGGGTAGTCCAGCCCAATACCTTCTTTTGGTCATGAGCTCTGGCTGTAACTTTTTTTTAATTATCTACAAATAAAATATTTGACGAATAATTTAAAAATATATCTGATTTTTATTTATTTATAATTATTTATTAAATTTAACAAACGATCATAAATAATATTTTAAAAATTATTAATTATACAATTAAATATTTAATTCATTTATGAAAACTAATAGAACAATTTTTAATATACTCGATTTTTATTCGTTTCTTCTCATTTATTAAATTTAATAAATTATCATAAATAATATTTCATGATTAATTAATTAAATGAATAAATCACAAATATAATCATATATGATCGTATTCCATTCATTTACACCCTAACAAATAGTGTCCTCGATGGCATTCTCATGGGATAAAAATTGGTGCATTTTCAATAAGAAATCTCTCATCGGTGTTTCTTTAATCACATATTTTTCATGAAAATGTGATGTTCTCTACAAAATGTAATATCCCATAAACCATAATTTCTGAGACACATTTACAAGGTAATCTAGCATAGGAAACAAACCAACATAATTTTTTGGATTAAAAGATGGAAATTTTGGGACTGGAAATCACTGTTTGGCAATGGGTCGTGTGTTGTTCCAAAGCCATTGACGAGCAGAGCCTTCCAGCAACGGTGAAACCTGCCAGAACTTAAGTTTAGCTACCATAGCTTGAAACTCAAAAGGAGAATACATATGAATACAGTATACCTACCTTTTCCCAAACTTGCGAATGGTATTTGTTTAGCCATTCGATCTCCTCAACCAAGAGCAAAGATAAGTCAACCAATTTAGTCTGCACGCCAAGAGATAAACATGGTTAAAATTAAAATCTATAGCTGAACTTATTTTAACAAAATCTACTTCATCCAACTAAGGAAGTCTAAGCAGCAAATAATTTGTAAATTCAACTGTAAAGCTCCCTTAAGCAATCAGCTCCAGCCCTCAGAGAAGAATGTATAAAGCATCAAAACGTTATTCATCGATTCATCATCAAGTCAAAGATTGAAAATATGCAGATTTCGGACATAAAGCACATGCTGTGATTCTTATAAACAAATCAAAGTACTATACATTCATGTTATTAGCATGATATCAATCCTAGAAGGTCAGATGCCTTATATTCCTAACAAGTGAACATTTCAACTTAATATATTATCAAATTTTAGTTTTAGGCCCTAACAAAGTTTCTTACAGTAGCACTGGTTGTGACTGGTAATTCACGCCCAGAAGAGGCTAATGTGGTGAAGTTAGAACGCAGTAAAGAGGGTAGAAAAGCATATTTTAATGTATAAAGGAAGATTCACACAGCATGAGTGATAGTAGAAGGAAATCAGCTGCATACCTGAATGGGAACAAATGTTATTTTTTCGAAGCCAAGGTATTCAATTCCTCCATAATTATTAGGTGTATTAACCTCTTGCACACAAAGGAGATTCTGCAAGATGAAAATAACCTAAGTTAGTATCAAGTTTATTCAACCAATATTTGGGCTAATTAAATTAAAAGTAAGTGAACAAGCTTGTTAAACAGCAACTAGATGGTTTCTCATAATATCAACTACAAAATAATGCTCAACTCCAATATAACTTTTAACCGCTAATCACCATCTTGCTCAAATTATGTGTAATGCATGAACATGGACCAACTACAATTCAGTTTTAAACAGCAGTTAGATCAATTAAATGAATTCGTCAAGGAAATTAAACAGCCAGAATTCTTGTAGCTAATGCAAAGTTTAAGGACAAACAGATATGGCTGGATGACTTCGTACCTCAATCCGAATGCCAAAGGCATGGTCTTCATAGTAGCCAGGTTCGTTGCTAACAATCATGCCTTTTTGTAGGGCAGTCATATTTCCGTATCTATAGCTGATACTTTGTGGGCCTTCATGGACATTCAATGCAGCTCCAACGCCATGCCCGGTACCTGCATAAAAGGAGCAAGACAATCAAGTCATAAATCAATAACAGACAAAGCATTTCCATACCGTGGAAGTCAACAGAAAGATGGGAGAAATACCATGGCGGTAATCAAGTCCAATCTTCCAAAGGGCAGAGCGGGCAAATGCATCCAACACAAAACCTGGAGTGTTTTCAGGGAATACTGCCTGATCAACAGCAATGTGACCCTGCAATTTGATGGTGCATCAGGAAACACCAAAATAACCAACTCCTATATGATAGCTTGGTAATCTTTAGAAGTAGAACAATGATGAAATCATATCGTTGAAGGTACTCATAGGACTGTAAAAATGATCAAATATCATGCCCCATTCATTCGTAACTGGTTTTAGATTATATATGCAGAGAGAAAAAATAAAGTGGAGAACCAGACAAAAGGAATTGTGAGCCTCACAACCTACAAGCAACTTTTACCAATATTCTCAAATATTTTAAATAATTTATTAGAAAAATTTGGCATATGAGTCACTCAATATCTACATGTAACACGTACATGGGGCTCCTAGACTACCAACAGGATAAATCAAAACAGAAGCAGCACCTTTAGAACTCGGGTGAAGCATTCTTTTTCCCTGGCAGTTGGCTCACCAAAATGTACTGTTCTTGTTATGTCAGTTGTTCCATCAACATATTGAGCTCCACTATCCAAAAGGAACAATTTATTTGGATCCACAATGCTACAACTTTCTGCTTCAGGTTTGTAGTGTATAACAGCACCATTTGCACCTGAACCTGCAATATTATTCTAAATGTTAACTATGAATTATAAATTGAAAACGAGAAATTTGATTTTTGGTTGCAAAGTTTATGAATCTACATATTCGCTTCCCAAAAAAACAAAGCATGGCAATTTTACTTTTTCCAGCATAAAAGAAATTCAAAGGTTGGACTTCAACAGGAATGTTTAAAGTTGGAAAAGAGGTAATCAAGAATTCTCAAATTAATATACCACTTATTGTATCAAAGCTTGTATCTAGGAAACCATCTTGCTTCGAACGGAATTCAAGAAGTTTGTCCGCAACATCTACCTCTGTGAGTTTTACATTCTTATGAATTTCCTCTTCCAGCCAGCACCAGAACTGTGCCAGAGCCACAGCATCCCTGCATGTTTATTATCACCATAAACATAATTCTTGAAGTTCTTTATCTACATATCTTTTCTCGCAGAAAATAGCTTTTAGCTACCCCGAAATAGAAAGTATAACCAAGAAGGGCTATGGCATGCATGTCCACAGACAATGGAAGAAATCCTCTTTGCTTACAAAAGGGAAAGAGAAGATGTGAGGCAGAAAGAGATGAACAAGAGTGGGAAGAAAAAGATGTTTTCAGCCAATTAAATTATCACTACAAACTGAGGTATCATACATTACATGGAGAAATCAATTACCTCAAGTGACAATTCTGCATCCCTTCTAATTCGGCGGGATTTTTCAATGCCTTTTCCAGGGAGATTGGGGATCGCATATAAACTCCAGAAGGACCTATAGAGAGACCATTGAATTCACCATTTCCTTTATTCATTATTTTGCGTCTATTCCCAGAGTTCATAAGATATTTATCACAAGCAGACTTATATGTCTCCACAATAGCAGCATTAACAGATGATGTATCTAACCACAGGTTGGCCCCTTCTGCTGCCAGTCTGAAAAAGGAACCTATAGTTATTTCTAAAATAAGTCCACCTTAGCATGTCAGCAAAACCAGCTAAGACTAGATCTAATTGAAAATTTTTGCAATCTTAGATAAAGATAAACATCTTTGCTGGCTGCTTTTGCATTTTATATTACATATTTTTCAAACAAGATAATCTATGATATCTAAATGAAATGTATGAGATCTTGTGAAAATCTGCTCCGATGAAAACATGCTACTTTCCTAATAAACTAAAGTGAAACTCATCACTTCACCATAGCATGCAAAAAATGCCCAATTCAGAGCAAAATGTTCTAATGCAAAATAATGGCAACCCAAACATACCTCCTTACTTCAGAAAGGATGGAGTCATATGGCCTTAATTCTACACCAGCATTCTTCAAGTAATCCATCACCTCTGGGGTGACTTTGGAATTATCTACAAATAACTTTGCTGCATCAACCTCCACAATTAAGTATGCGTACATAACCGGCGAATGTGGGACATCACTTCCTCTCTACAAAACAAGATTTAAGGTATTAGTTGGATGGAGGATTTAGAGAGAAAAGTTATATATATATATATATATATATTTCTCTTAGCAAGGTGGGCAATCAGATTTCTTCTACAGTAACCAGCATTCTAAAAATTCTTGACAAAACAAAGTCTGCCAGCATTTTTTTGTTTCTACAAAATTAACAAGTAACTAAGTACAAGCAGGTATTAATACCAAGTTCAGCAACCAGGCAACTTCATCAAGCATGGATATAACGATTGCAGATGCACCTGTGCCAACTAGTTTAACCCTCAGGGAAGATAATTTGGACAACACATTTACACCAGCATATTTCAGATCATGCACTCTAATTGGCTTGTTTGGAGGTTTAGGCCTTGATTCCTTCCATATTTCATCCACAATATTTAAATCGTACAAGTAAACTAACTCAAGATTGTTCTTAGATATAGCTTCCTTCAGTTCTTCTGCAGCATCATAAGAAAAAAGAAACTGCTCCCTTCAAATGATCAGATATCATCAGAGACAGCCAAGCATGAATAAGGGGTATACTGATTGCAAATGGAAAGCTAGATGCATCCATTTAAGAAGTTGAAATATTGCTCACAGGATCAATGCCGACTCTGCCACCAGGAGCCAGTATATCATTAAGCCATTCACTAGTTGCTGGGACTCCAAGATTACCAGCACGCATGAGAATCCAGCTCGAGCTCAACTGCTTCTCAGCCTAAACAGTCAGAATAAAAGAACTATTATCAACACATATTTATCCCATAGTGGATCATACTAGATAAATTTCCATTAAAATGACTTCATAAAGTTCACCAACAAAAAAAAAAACCTGCAGAAAATAGCGACCATCGGTCCATAGAGCTGCTTTATCCTTTGTGACAACAGCAGTCCCTGCACTGCCAGTAAAGCCTGATATATAGGCTCTCCTCATGTAGCATTCAGCAATAAACTCACTCTGGAGACCATGCCAAAATGCAATTAAACTAATCACGATAGATGTTAGAACCTGGAAGTTCTACTTACACAAATTTCAGTCCCACTTACAGATAAGCCCGATAATCCTTAATGGTCACATTTTGAAAAATGTTTATAAGTAGTAAAACTGAATAATCATATATCATAATTCAAGAAATTTATCAACAGAAGCACTTAAAATCCGCTTAAAACAAACTAGAAAACTATTATCGAATCAACCAAAACCCAGTCAAATTCCAGGATCAATGGATAAACACATACAAAAGTAAATCAAATAATCTATATTCTGAGCTAACATTTCATCAGTATTTTGACCAAAACAACCAAAAACTAATTGAATTCCAGGGTCAACCCACAACCACAAAAAAAGTATAGAAACGAAAGAGAATTGAACCTGATGAGCATCCTGAGAAGGGATAATATAGGCATCAATACCAATTCCAGGCTTGGAAAACAGCTGGCGAAGAGCAACAACCTTTTCATCCGGTTCTTGAACAGCACGGTTCCTACGAAGCTCCGAAGAAGGCTTTGCAGTTACAGAACCAGAACTACAACATCGTAGGGTCAAAAAAGGAGGACCCTTTTGTAATTTCTTATAAATTGTGGGGTTGCTTTTGAATTTGTGGAAAATGGGGATTGAGAAGGAAAAGAAAGGAAAACGAGAAGAGGACAGGGATGGGTTGAGGGATAGAGGACGCATTGCTTGAGATGGTAGGGAGTGCATAGTTGATAGTAGCAAATTCCAATAGAAAGAATAAAAAAAAAAAAAGCCTTTTCTTCAAACAGAGAAGATAAGGTATTTAGGATTGTGAAAGAAGAGAAACCAGAAATTATGGGAGTTGGATGAAAACTGTGTCGTATAAGGAACAAAGACGACAGCTCACAACTGACGAGGCTTGTGTTGCAAGTGAACGTCTCTCTTTTAATGTCTGAACTCTAAAAGGTAACTAAACGTTGTCGTATAAGAACTAAAGAGAGCACCGGCAAAAAAAAAGGAGGACAGGACTGAAGTGAGCACTGAAGTCTAAAAAAGTAAAAATGTCTGCTTGATCTCAAATCTCAAAATTTTCTCTTTTTAACTGTTAGAAGTGTCTACGTTTCAAACAAAGGTCCTTACTTTCTTCTTCGTGTTGTGATTTCAAAGATTAGATCTTCCAGTTGAAGTTTACAGTCAAATGGCGATCATAACAGAAGAGGTAGAGCCAGAATCACCCAAAACCAGAGAAAACGAAAAAAACCCCAAAAAACCAACTTTAAATCCAAACTCTAAACCTTCAAAACCCACTTCAGATCCTAACCCAAACTCCCAAACTCAAAACCCTTTTGCCTTCTGGTTCTATTTTACTCTCAGTATTTCTCTCATCACTTTCCTCTTCGTCTCTTTTTCCTCTTTGTCCGCACAAGACCCAAAATCCTGGTTCCTTTCTTTGCCTAATTCCCTACGCCAACACTATTCAAATGGTAGGATCATCAAGGTCCAAATAACCCCAAACCAATCACCAATTGAAGTTTTTGTTTCTGAAAATGGTAAGCTGTCTTCATCTGAGAATGTTATGGTTGTTCATGGCTTGGGTTTGAGCTCTTATTCTTATAGTGAAATCATAAGACTTTTAGGCTCAAAAGGTGTTCATGTTATAGCCCTTGATTTGCCTGGAAATGGGTTTTCAGATAAATCAAGGGTAGAGATTGAAGAAGGAACAAATGGGGTTTTAGGTAGGTTTAAGGAAGTTTATAGTTTGATTCAAGAAAAGGGTATCTTTTGGGCTTTTGATCTAATGGTTGAAACTGGTGAACTCCCTTATGAAGAGATAAAGTCTAGAGTTTTGGTTAAAAAGAGTCTTAAGGTTATTGAGTTGGGAAGTGAAGATATGGGAAGGGTGTTGGGGCAGGTTATAGAAACAATGGGATTAGCTCCTGTGCATTTAGTTTTACATGATTCTGCTTTTGTTATGGCTGCAAATTGGATTTCTGAGAATTCAAGGTTTGTTAGAAGTGTAACTCTTATTGATACAGGACTAAAACCAGCCTTACCTTTGTGGTTTTTGAACATACCTGTGGTTGATGAAATTGTGTTGAGGTTTACATTTGTGTATGCAAGGTTGATAAAATTGTGTTGCTCGAAGGGGATTGGTTGGTCTGAGTTGGAGGCACATAGAGTGCTATTGAAGGGATGGGATGCAAGAAGAGCGGTTGTAGGGATAGGGAAAAAGTTAAATTATAGTTTTGATATTGAAGAATGGAGTGGTTTGGATGGTATAAAAGGTATGCCAATGCAGGTAGTTTGGTCTAATAGTTGGTCGGACGAATGGAGCAAAGAGGGTGGACGAATTGCTGAGGCACTTCCAGGAGCAAAATTTGTCACTCATTCTGGAGGGCGATGGCCTCAGGTAAGGACTCATTGACTCTGTCAACATATTACTTTCTTTTGTTCGTGTTTTACATCATTACATGTCATAGTAGAATTATCAAATTCTTGCTGCTTTTGGATGTTAACAAGCATGCTCTTGAATGAGTTTGTGATTGATTCGGACTTGTTTGTATGAATGAGGAAAAGACAGATTTTAGTTCTCATATTTTGACTCCTGATTTTAGCTCTAATATGGTTCTTTAGATGTACAACCATGTTCTATTGTTGCTAAAATCATGCACGACTGATTCATTTTATGTCTTTAATAGATTGTATGATTGGGGTCTTCGAGAGTGCAACCAACACCTGGGTAGGCCCTCTTATGGTGAATGAAATTATTTAAAATAAAAAATTTGGAAGTCTGTTGCTAATCATGTCTTCCCAAACTAATAGGATGTGATTGACTGTATTGAAAAATAACCTTGTAAACTGGGACTACATGCTCAGTTTTGAGAATTATTTATATTTGAATGCATTTCATTCTTGGTTCTTTTTCATAATTTATGAATCTTGTTCTCTCAGTTCAAATTGGTCTGATAATCTCTTATTTTGCTTGCCACTTACCCACTGCATCATTCCAAACTAATAGGATCATGGATGCACCCTGTGGATTTTAAATCAAAAGCATGATGATTGATTTAATGTTTTCTAGAATAATAAGGAAGATGTTTTCTTTTTTTACCAAGTTCCTTAGATGGCTTCAATGTGTTTTTTAAAATCACATGCATTCACTGCATTTGAAATTCATGCATGCTATGTCTTTGCGACCTCAGGAAGATGCTGCTGGTGAACTAGCTGAGAATGTAGCTCAATTTGTGTCTTCATTGCCAAAAACAGTTAGACAAGTTGAGGAAGAGCCCATTCCTGAGCATATTCAGAAGATGTTTGATGAAGCAAAAGGCACTGACCATCATCATCATCATCATCATGGTCATGGTCATGGCCACAGTGCCCATGGGCACGACCATGCTCACGCAGCTGGTTTTATGGATGCATACGGTCTTGGTCACACTTGGGGCAGTTAATCTGTTTCTTTCTATTTTAATCAACCAGATTAAAGTTAGAGATTAGATCTAGCTGTGCCGCTACCCGCATGTGGTATTCTATGCCGCTTTTGAGATACTTATTGTTGTCCATGATTCTTCTACTAAATTGTAATCCTAAAAGCATGTTTTCTGCAAGCTTGCTAGACTTATATATTTTCCAATTAAGAAAGAAAGGTTTATATTAGTTCTAACCTTTGCAACAATATACTAACTAAAAAATCAAGCCAATAAGGTACTGATTGTTGTTACGATGATACCATGGAGCTGTTTTTGAAGGGAAAACTCGAAGCCCTTCCTGCATTTTGGATGTTACATCATAACTGTGAATTTATTTCTGAAGCCGATTTTTATGTGAATTTGAGCTTAATATGCTTCGCAGTATATAAGATTTGATTCTTTTCACCAACTTAAACCCTATAAAGAGTTCCCAAGTCTACTAATTTTCCAGCTTACAGGAGAATTTATAAGAATTCAGAACCTCTTTCAATGTATGGTTCGTGGTTGAACATAACTCTGATATTGATACCAAAAAATGGTTTTTCATGCATATATAATTGAATAGAAGAACTGATCAACTACATAAAAAGAAATGAATCTCTTAAAGCTCGACATTCAAATTGTTGGAAACAACAATGTCAAGAAAAAAAAAAGGTGGAAACAAAGCATGAAATAATTAACTAAAAAAAAAAAAAAAACAAGTTAGATGAAGCCACTGATGGGAACTGAGTTCCTAGAACTGTTACTTATACTTCTTCTTCTTCTTCTTCCTTCTTGGCCTCTTCCTCTTCAGCATCGACCTTAGCTTCTTCCTTGGTCTTCGCACCGGCTCCTTCCTTGACGGTTTCGAGTGCCTGAATCAGGGTTTCCAGGCTTGTAATTACGTCTCCTCCCAAGGTCTTAGGCATCAAATTTTCTGCAACATCAGCTGGTGTCATGTTTACTTCACTGAACAACTGTTTAATCTTCTCAAACAAAGGATGTGAATCAATGTTCCAATAATTCCTTGCCAAGACCTTGAATGCTTCAAAGCAGCAATACGATAACTCAATGTGCATATCCATCCTTCCTCTTCGAATCAAAGCCGGATCAAGTTTTTCAACATGATTAGTTGTAAATACAAAGATTCTTTCCCCTTCACAAGCAGACCAAATTCCGTCAACAAAATTCAAAAAACCAGATAATGTAACCTTGCTTTCACCATAATTAGCCTTTTCCTTTTTCTCTTCATCTGTCTCTTTGCGTTTTCCTGTAAAATCAAGTGAACAATCTATGTCTTCAACAACAATAATAGATTTACTTTTTGTATTAATCAAAAGGGTCTTTAACTCTGCATTGTCCTTAATTGTTGTCAACTCAAGATCATAGATGTCATAGCCTAAAAGATTAGACATGGCAGCTATCATGGTGGATTTGCCTGTTCCTGGTGGACCATAAAGCAAATAGCCCCGCTTCCAAACCTTTCCAATCTTTGCGTAATAGTCTTTAGCCCGGCTAAAAGTGATAAGATCATTGATTATAGCCTTTTTCCTCTTGGCATCCATAGCATAAGTATCAAAGGTAGATGGATGCTGAAAAATTGCATAATCCCAGAAACCATCTGATGGATTCTTCATATAAAGCCTTCGGAAACGCCTACCTTTTTTAAGAGCCTTACCCTCCTGCATCACATGCTTTAAGTACTTTCCTGTAACGAATTCGCGGTGTTTCTCAGGGAAGGTAAGTTGGTAGTACCTAGACTCAGGAGCACGTTGCCTAGAATAAATTGAGTTGGTTTGGCTAGGATAAATTGAGTTGGTTAGAAGATCAGTGGATTCTTTTCCTCTATACCAACTAACCTTGATACCTTGAAACTCATCATGAACCTCCTCATAGTCATCCATGGCAAGAACAAGAGGTTGGTCTTTCTTCACAGATACTGCCTTGAGTCTTGCAGCTTGTGCTACAGATTTGGAACACAGGTAGCTCTCTACCGTATCGTAAGCCACGCTACGGTTGTACAAGCTCGAGCCGTACTCATTGAATGTGATTTGCACTTCAGGAAACAACCAGTGAACCAATTTATCCCACCAAATTTCAAGCTTGATTTTGACAGTATGAGGGAAGAACTGTTTAAAAGTTGCACATGTAAACATTAGGGCAGGGATGCTAGAACCTACAGTGGCCAATGTTTCTCCACCCAACTTCCCCATGTTTCTTTTCTTTGCTGGCTGCTACTGTAATTGCTATGGAGACGAGAATTATAACTTATGTTTCTCAGCCTGAAGCTATATATTTATATAGACTCAGAAAGATGCGGTTCCTGTCTGAGTTTTATTTGTATTAGGATTTCCTACTTCTTCTGTGCCTTGCTTTACAAAAGGAAAGATTTGTTTTTTTTCTGTTTTACAATTTTTGTTGGCAATTTGAGAGTATATCAAAGTTGGTTAGCCGGGATATAAAATTTCGGATTCAATTTAATTTTTTAAACTATTATATAATATTATAAATTTTTAAAATTTAATTCAAATATAAATCGATTCAGATTAAACTAAATTTTATTAGTTTTGTTTAATTTGATTTATCAATTTTAAAAAAAAAATTTGGTTTTTATATATTATTATAATATAAAATTTTAATATATTTAAATAAATTTTGATTAAAAATTATTATTTATATTTTATAAAAATTTAAAATATGTATAAAAATAATTTAATTTGAATTTTTTTAAAAGTTTTTTACCTTTCTTGAAATTCAATTCGAAATTTTATTATATGCATTTAATATTTAAATTTAATCTGAATAAAATCAAAAAAAATTCATCTAAAATAAATTGAACACTAAAATTTTAAATCAATTTTTAATTTTTTCGATTTTTTTCTAATTACCACCGCATGGCGTGAAGGAGAGAATTAGAATTTTGATGCATCAATCGTTAAAGTTGGGTCCGAAAGTTTTATACTTATTTGAGCTTCAGATCAGCCTAAGTCCAATGGGCTATCAACAATAATATTGGACTTTTTCTTTTGTTTCCTTTGGATATATTTTCCTTCGACCACCGCTATCGCTTCTTTGTCTGCGAAGATGAGCTGTTGCTGCGACCAAAACGACGACGAATCAACCCTCACAACACCACTCTCTTCCACCTCGAACCTCATCGTTACGGATACAAACGTCACCATCTCCCCAATGAACTCCAATTTCGCAGCTCTGACGTGCGGCGACACTCTCCGACTCATCTTCGAGAAACTCTCTCTCGCGGACTTGGCACGTGCCAGCTGCGTTTGCAAGGCCTGGAACGCCGTCGCTTCCGATGACGAGATGGTTATGGAGGCATTCATGGCTCCTTGGAAGCTTCTGGAAGTGGTGGGGAAGCCGAGTTCTAGAAGTTTCTGGAGAGATAATGGGATTGGGAAGTTCGCTATCTCGCATCGGATTTTGAGAGGAGAGAGTATTGCTAGTCTTGCTGTTAAGTACTCTGTTCAGGTAAACAAAAAAATGGGTATTTTTGTTTGATGAGAAAGTGAAGAAATTTGCTTGGAAATTTGAGAAATTTATGATTCTGTTTTGGTAAATCTTTTGTCTTTTGTATAAAAGATTGTCTTTTAATTGAATGATAGTGTTAAAAAAGGGTAAAACTTTAATCACATTTTACTGGCATGAAGAGTATATAGAATGAATTTGCTTGAATGTCAACCTTTTTCATGTATTCCTTTTGAAAATTGGGTGTTCATCTTCTGGTGCGAGATTTAAGATTTGGGTGGAGATGGGGGGGCTTAGGCCTTAAGGCAAAAGCAGTAGGAATAGACAGGGTTTGATTTGTGTTAGGTTGGTTGAGAGTTTCTGGTTTTGGTTACTAAGGTAGCTGAAAGAACTTGATAACTGTTTGGCATTTGGTGTGCATAGATGAGAGTCATGAGACTACAATTTGGTGAAATGAGAGATGCAACAGTCTTTTTTTTTTTTTTGCTTTAAGGATTAGCATTTTGTGTCTCCTCTACTTGGAGTTTGTCTTCAGGGTTTCCAATTTCCTTTTCTGTTAATTAGCCTACTCATTATCCAGCTTAGATGAGAATTTATAAGAATTCAGAAGCTCTTCATTTTATGATTCATGGTTGAACATAACTCTGATACTGGCTCCAAAACCTACAAAAGTGTGACGTCTTTTCATGTATATAATTGAATGGAAAAACTGACGAACTACATGCTAAGAAGCAAATTCATTAAAGCTCGACCTCTAAATTGTTGGAAATGACAAGACTCTTTAAACCACAATGTTGAAAAAGAAAAAGCTGAAAGCAAAGCATGAAATAATTAACTACAAACAAACAACATAGACAAAGTCACTGATGAAAACTGATTGCCTAAAATTATTAATATTTTCTTTCAAATCTCTTCTTAGTTGTACTTGAAAGAGTGACTACTTCCTTGGCCTCTTTCTCATCAACAATCACCATTGCTTCTTCCTTGGTCTTTACGTACTCTTTCAGGGATTAGCATCATGGTTCTTCTACATGGAGTTTGTCTTTAGGGTTTCCAGTTCCCTTTTCTGTTGCAAACCTTTTCTTTTAGTTTTTCAACATTAACTTTGCCCTTCGCTCAATGTTAAGTGAATTAGTGGTATAAATATACCTTACTTGTATTTGTAGGTTATGGACATAAAGCGCCTGAATAACACGATGAGTGAACATGGGATTTACTCAAGAGAGAGGTTATTGATCCCTATAAGCAATCCAGACGTTCTAATAAACGGGACATGCTATATAGAGTTGGATACCTATGCAAAGCGAGAAGTGGCAGTGCTGTATCTTGATGGCAATCCTGACAAAAAGACTGGAACATTGTTGAATAGAATGACCTCCGATCGAGGCAAGAGAAGGGTGATTGACTCATTGAAGAGAAGCATGCAAGTTGATGATGGAACTGCTCAATACTATTTGTCCATTTCAGGTGGTGATCCCCGACTTGCACTCTCTCAATTCTCTTCAGACCTCAGGTGGGAGAGGCAGAGAGGCTTGGCCTAGTTGGAAAGGTATATCAAGTTGATGGATGATAAGGGACCTAGAATTCACAGCCTTAATAAGATTCCTTCATTAGCATATGTAGTTAACTGTTTTTCCATGTAAAGTTATTGTAATGAAGCATACTGTCAAGTGTTAACATTGTCCAAATTCAGAGTATTTAATTGTACTAGGAACTAAGCAAGTTCCTGATGTTTCTTCAGTATACTTGTCTGTATTTTCATTTCATTCCTATAAGGGAGTGTTTAGTCGATTATGAATCAAAATGCATCCAAACTGCAGCATTCAGATATTTCTCTATGCTCTAAAGTAATTTGTTCACTTCTTTCTTTAGCTGTCTAGTAAGGTGTGAATTTTAAACTCTGACACGCATATATATCCTAGCTTTCTCTGCAGCCAAAGTCATTAGGAAACATAAGAATTTTCTTTATTTATTGGTTTTAACTCTCATCTTTCTCAGACAATACATATCTGATTCTACCTGTCAACTTTTAGCATTTTCAGGCTGAATTCTTCGTTTGACAGTACAATTTTTTATTTCTTAGGCAACTTGATCATGCCAAATGGCCTAGTAGCGCTTGGCATTAAGAGATGGAGAAAGCAATCCCCTACCTCTTGAGTTAATGAGATAGTTCATAAAAAAAATCAGATTGATATGACAAAGTTGAAAAAGCTAATAACTTAATTTATGTTACCTGAGGTTAGACAACAAAGGTGATATGAAAAAGTCCAGAATCCAATAACAAGAATGAAATATAGAACTTGCTTTTTCCCTGTTCCCACAAGCTTTCCCTACAAATTAAACACAAATAGCGTATGGTGAAGAAAACTATAAACTGTGACAAATGTAAAAAAATTCTGCCACGGATTTCGCATCATGAGGCATGATGCAAAATATAAACGGGGAACAGAACTACTACTAATTCTATCGATTGCCTGAATGGATTTAGAAGCTGAAGGATTCAATTCAGAGGAGTTGTCTGACAAGGTTCCCTGAAATTACATTACTTATTATAGGTTTGAAGAGAAAAAAGGCCAGAAAGTATATCCCATGATATTATCTACAAGAATCAATGAAATAAAAATAATATAGTTTTGTAAACATTTTAGCAAAATTTTTTTGTCTGTGTTGAAATATGCTTTGGAATAAGTGGATGAGACTTTGTTGTCCTTACATAGAATGGTGCGACAACGTGAACAAACACATCAGTACAATGATGAAATAACATCTCATATAATAAATTTTTAAAATGTCAAAATGGCAGATATCTCTTGATTACCAAGGAGGCTTTTGAGCGGAGATATTGATTTTTGATTTTGAAACATTAATTAAAATTATTATTTTTTATTTATTACATTACTTAAAAAAAGAACCTCCGCTACTAATTAATAAGCAGGGCTTTAAATAGCCCGAATATATCCAATTGGCTTATTTTGTTGGAATTAGGAATTGGACTTTTAAACCAAAAGAACCAACTTTAGACCATAGTGGGCTTTAGTTCAATCCAATCAAGTCCAATGGAATACTTATTTGTCTTTTGGGTTGCAATTAAAATTTGAATGGGACACTCACGATTACCATGAGTCAACTCCAATACTACATAAAGTAAATAACTTATTTTGAGTAAATATAATTATATCTTCAATTCATCTTCTTTTAAAACAATTGTTATAAATAATTATAAGGAGAAATAAAATATGTTTTTCACTTTATTTTTGAATGGAAGCAAAACTAATTTTTAAACCAGGGGAACAAATATATTTGAATATCCCAAAAAAAAAAAATTACAAATATAAGTAATTTTTATTTTATAACAAAATATTAAAAAATTACAAATAAATATATCTATGAGATGAATTAAGCTGAATTCAAACTTAAAAATTTATGTCTAAAGCTCATATAGACTTATTCATAGGCTAAACAATCGATCTTATGCATTTCTAATTTGTCAATGGCATGTCCGTTGCCTTTCACAAAGACATTAATAATCACAAGTGGCAATTAATATGTCTTTTTTTTATTTCTTTCTTTTATAAATTAATAACGATGACCAGATTTATTCAAAAGAAAAAAAAATAATGATGACCAACTCCTTAACCAAATGCCTCGCTGTTCATTAAGGAAAATATGTTTTTTTTTTTTATAAAACGTTCATTCAATGTCAATAATTTAATAATTAATCGGTCAAAGTGATTATCTATATCACAGAACATTTTTTTTTAATCACTTTCAAATTAAATGAGTCGTTGTTGATTAAAGAACATGGTTTTTGACGTTCCGAATAAAATAAACAATTCCCAACTAAAATGATGTCTCACTAAAGAATAATATATATTTTTTTTTCCTTAGGTAATGACAAAACAAAATTATAACTAGCTATGATTAGTTAGTTAATGATACCCCATCCTCATCTGAATGTTTTCTTGATTTAAACACGCAAAATATTAATGTGAAAGCAATAATAAATTTTGCATGTAAATCTCGTGTTTGAATTCTCTAATTAAGCATACATGAACATGATCGCTGAATACAATTTTAAATAATAAACATGAGATTCAGACCCTAAGTTTTTAAGTTGAGAAATATATATATTGTTTTTCTGCCAATAATATATACTGTTAATTTTTACCTTTTTTTATTTTTCATTTTGAAAAAAATAAGAAGATGCAAATCGATCGGCTCACTAATTAGCTAATTATTTAAATGCATTAATATATATTTTTTATATTTGGAATTGCCAAAAATCATATTATAAATTTTATTAGCAGATTATATGATTGTTGGTGCGTTAATTTATATTATCTTGCTACAAATCCAAATTAATTATATATGGATTTTAATAATATATTTCAGATGTTAATTTATTTCATAAGTGAAGTGGTTGATATTTGTACAAAGCTAGGTGTGATGGCATACAAACAAGTGAATAACGTCATGATTACAATATTGAAAAACGTAGGGATGTGAAATTTATAATTAAATGGGCAATGTTTCCTTTTTTAAAACAATTAAAGGGGGTCGTTTGCATTTATTGAGATATACAAGTCATATTACTATTAATAATAAGTAGTGTGAGATGTGCAAATTTCATTTTATAATATACTATTTTTTTAATCAACAGCTTATGGTTGAGAGCATCTTATAAAATAATATGCTCTTTTTATTTTCTGTTTTAAATTAAACGAACAAAAAGAAAAAAAAGAATATTTGATTCAATAATACATGAAAAATGCAATTAATATATTTGCACAAGAAGTTGATTCAAATAAAACATTTATGCAAGTAGGGAAGCCAATTAAATAAATACAAATTGCATATTTTGCTTGTTGAAGTGAGCTTAATTGATGATATATATATATTTATCTTTCTAGAAGATTAGCATGACAGCTAGTGTTCAACTGCACATACAGAAAGGAGCAAAGAAAGGATTGGAAGATAGCAAAATAGGTGTGGAAACTTCTTATTTAAATGAACCAATAAATTTTTTTATTGAAAATTCTCGAAATTTTCAAATATTTTTATCTATTATTTATCAATTATCACCTAGCTAGTTATTACTTACATTCAATGATGATAATAACAAATTATTAGTTAGAAAACCTTAATCTTTTTATCAAATTAAGAGTCGATTTTTAACTCAGATTTATAAGTAAATTAATTTATATAATAATTCTTAAGAATTAATAAATTTAATATTTACAATTTCTCAATTTTTTTTTTTAAATTAAGAGTTGACTTTTGACATTGACAGTTGAGGCCTGCCTACCTCAACTAAAATCCAAGCCAGTTGTGTAACCTGTTCTTTAAAATTTGTGATTACAGTCAATTTCAGGGGATTACTGACGTGCATTGTACTCAAATAGCATTCTTGGTAGAAGCCATTCGGATTTCAGTTTGCTCTTATTAGAAACGATCAATTCACGTGATATAATTTAATTAAAATTTTCTATTTAAAAATATTTTTTTTAACCAATAAAACTCTTGGAATACATGAGAATTTTAAGAAATTTGCCTGATTATTTTATAAACATGTTACATCATTTCCATTTTCTTAATTTCTTTTCACATGGTTGAATTTTGGTCATATATATCTTATCAAAACTTTGCTGAATTATTCAAAATTTGAATCATAATAATTGATATTTTATCCATTTATGTGATGAAATTTGATGATCTATTCATATACGTATGTCTATTTTTTTTATTTGAAATAATATTATGAATTATTAATTATTAACAAATACTTACCCGCAAATGACACGATAGTTTGATTCTTATCTTTCGGATTATTAATGCACAAAGCCGAGTTCTAAAAATATATATATCTTAAATTATGTTATAAGTTTTCTAGTTTCGTGCCTAACTATGAATCTTGAAATTAATCACAACATTTTGAATGTTTGATTATGAAGCATTTGTCTCAGAAGATTTTCAGCAAAACTTTATATGCTTCAAATTTGAGAAAACCATCTTTGCTGCAACAATCAAATTAAACATTGCAACTCCTAAATTTCTTGCTAAGAAGAATTTCCTTCTTCGAATTAATCTTATAACCATTGACAAGTTAACACAATCCTTAAAAAAGCTGTAACTACTACCATAAATTAATTAACAAATTTTCTCCGAAAAAATTATTAACTTCTAGAAATAATTTTGTAATTAATTTCTCTTATCATTAGATTACGGTTTTTTTTTTTCCAAAATAATAGATATAAATATAGGAATATTTCAATTATATATCTAAGGTTTTTGGTAAATGACAAAACTTAATTACCTTAGTGATAACTTTTTACACAAAAAAAGTTTAATTATTAAAAAAAGAAAATTTTGAATCCTTTTATTTTTTGGGGGTAATAAGTGTAACGCCTCCGATCCCACATCAGGAGGATGTGTGGATAAGAAATGATATATATGTAGAGACTTAATCTTAAACTGGTGAGACGCTTTTTGTAAGATAAAATCATGAGACATTCGGATTAAAGCGGACAATATCTCGCAGGTTGGATACGGGTCTCTACAAATGGTATCAGAACGGTCACCAGTCCGTAGTTGTGGGAGTCATTAAGTGCTACACGGTAGAGCCGTGAGAGTCACTAAGTGTTACACGATGGTCTTGTGTGATCTTGATCCTATGGATGAACTCGACTTGACAGAGACGTCAAGCATTAAAGGTGAGGAGATTGTAACGCCTCCAATCCCACATCAGGAGGATGTGTGGATAAAGAATGATATATATATAGAGACTTAATCTCAAATTTGTGAGGTGCCTTTTGTAAGATAAAATCGTGAGACCTTCGGATCAAAGCGGATAATACCTCTCAGAT